CCCCCCCCCCCCCCCCCGCCCCATCTCTCTCTCTCAAAATGAACATGGGGGAAACAAACAAACAAAAAAACCCAGAAAACAAGAATCTTGCCCATTTTGCTTTTTGTATACCTCAGCCAGTGGCTTTCTCCAGACTATATTCTCAAAGACTAGAGTGCTTTGGTTTGTAGAATTGACTGTACATATCCCCCAAATTACTCTACAGGGGTGATTCCTGCCCTGGTAACTCTGTGAGGGCAGAGTTAGACTGCAGTTCTCCTTAGTGGGATAGTTCACATGTAAGGACGTGTGGTTCAGCGGTAGGACTATCCTCTTCAGGTTTGAACAGCAGTAGGGGTTTGAGAACTTCCGAATTCATACACTTAAACCTTAATCTTGGACTGAAGATAGACAGTTTCTGAGACAGACTTCCCGTGGGTGGATCCAGATCTGCAGGCTTTCTTTGACCTAATCCAGTTGACATACACAGCTCCTGCTCTGGGGAGGTCTCACCTGGGCTTTGTACCTCAGGTCACTTCTAGCTCGGAGCAGGTATACCAGTCAGTCTTTAACATTGTGAGTCTTCTAAAACTTATGCTTAGGGTGCCAGGCACACTTTTCATTTGAATTGCTTTAGTGGCTGTAAAACATGAAACATAATTTTGGAGATTTCTAACCCTTTTATGTGAATTTTTTTTCTGGGTCTTTACATTTTATATGCATCCTAGCCCTCAGGCCCTTCTGAAAGTAGTGAGAATGATGAAATTGTTTATAGAGAAGTCTTGCTGTTCCATAAAGCATGTTATTTGCTGTTTAAAAAGGCAAAAAAATGTGACACAACGAGTGCTGTTACATTGGCTTTTTAATTAAAAAAAAAAAAAATTTTTTTTTAATTTATTTTTCAGAGAGAGAGAGGCAAAGTTCAAACAGGGAAGGGGCAGTGAGAGGGGGAGGCAGAGAATCCGAAGCAGGCTCCGGGCTCTGAGTAGTCAGCACAGAGCCTGATGCAGGCTCGAACCCACAAACAGTGAGATCATGACTGACCGAGCCACCCAGGCACCCTATACATTGGCTTTTTAATTTTGCTGTTAGGATTTTGGGGAGTGTTTAAGGCCCATGTTTGCACTAGTGATAAATATGTGAAGAAGTCGTGCCCTGGCTCACTGTAGCAGTTTCTTTCCTCTGCCTTTATACGGGCAACTTATTTGTTCCTGAAAGCTGAGGTTGCAAACCTGAGGCTCCCAGGCTGAGCCAGCCTATAGGCTTGTGAGTTTAGTCTGACAGTGATGTCCTTCCATTAAAAATTTGAAAGTTGTGCATACAAATATAGATTTCTAATCTTTTCAGTTAAAAATTTCTGCCAACACTAGGCCCCGTTTTTGCAGAGTATCAAGTGCTAGAGCGAAGTAGTCTGTCTGTCTTTCTTTCTTTCTTTCTTTCTTTCTTTCTTTCTTTCTTTCTTTCTTTCTTCATTCATTCAATGTTTCCTTATTTTGGGGGGAGAGAGAGAGGGAGGTGGAGCAGGAGAGGGGCAGAAAGAGAGGGAGACATAGAATCAAAAGCAGGCTCCAGGTTCTGAGCTGTCAGCACAGAGCCCGATGCAGGGCTTGAACTCACCATCCCTGAGATCATGACCTGAGCCGAAGTCGGATGCTTAACCCACTGAGCTGCCCAAGCGCTGCTCCCCCCCACCCCGCCCATTTTTAAGTCTAAAGATCCTCCTTCTAGTTTGCCGTGGTCCACACCATTTCTTACTGTATTACACGTGGTATATTTCACTCATTATCATACCTTGTGGATCCCTCTGCCATTTGAGTTTGTGCTGAAATTATATATAATTAAGCCCTTTAAAATGCCTGCACTTCTTAGAAATGAGAATATATTTCTTGTCATTTACTTATATGTACATGCATCAAGGAACCTAATTTAGAAACTGCTAATATACAGGTAAAATGATCAATTCATCTGTCACCTAGCAAAATAGTTGCTTCTCAGGCATATCATAAAACTCAACAACTATTCAGAAGAGATATGGAAGAATCCAACCATATTTTCCTCCAGAAAATGAGGCTTTTCTTAAACTGTCCTTGGGAATGCAGTTAAGTTGCACAACCTCCTTAACAACATATTCCTCATAAAATACAATATAAATTTTTCTAATGCAGCAGAAGGAAGAAGGAAAAAAACCCTGACAATCTTTCTTTAGCTCATTTAACCATAGAACTTGAAGTCATTTTTTCAGTTAAATTGCAAAAGAATCTCCTTGAACCAAGAGAGTTGACATATCTTCCAAAGATAGCCAGTGTATAACATATACTCAAAAGTCTAACTCGATAGAAACAATTTGAAAAAAGATAAAAGAAACTGGGTTTGGAGGAGAGAGGAAGAAGGCAGTTTTCAGAGTAAATGTGAATCTGGATCCCTCGCTCACTTTACCTTTTTGTGCAGGCTGTGTTTACCCATAGAGGGAAAGGATTAGTAAGATATTTTTACCATAAATAAACTGTCACTATTTTTTTTTTTTTTTTTTT